AGGAGTGATGCCATAATTGTCACCACCTCCGCTATAACTTCATTAGAACTTCCGGAATTGAGCTATGACGACACAGTATACCGCATGAACCAATTGGCTAGTTTTGGAGGTGGATCCTTTCTTAAGCGGCGTCAGGATACCAAAGGGATGATAGACCTCCTCCGTTGGTTATGGAAAGCAGCAGTAGGGCCTGTTTTTGACCACCTCGAAGGCAGCGGCGCCACCATCAGCGATGGTGCTCATGAAAACAATTTGAAGCGGATTTGGTGGATTGGGGTTGGTCGATTAAGTATGGCACCTTTCCATGCGGCCGGGGACCATTCCCCAGGGTCGACCCATAACACTATAAGTCGAGCCATCTCAACATATATCCCAACAATCAAAGCCCTTTCCTATGCACGCCAAAAACAACTTCAGCTTTTTGAGGAATATGATGCTTCGTTTTCAGCCGAGAGATCTAAGAAGGCTAAAATTCTCAAACAACGGAATCCCCGCCTACTTCTTGTTCCCATGCCGCAAACACCAGGCGCCCCGGAGCTACCCGGAGTCAGTGAAGAAGTTCTATACATACTTGATTCCTCTACCCAAAGTTTAATCGAACCCACCCTGTTGAGCGGTCCAACCCCGGCCGAAGTCCTCAAGAAAATTAACCTCTACGAAATTGTCCACTTCGCCTGCCATGGAGTGTCTTGTCTCAACCCCTCAAACAGCCATCTGGTTCTGTTGAGCCAGGATGGCATCAGTGCTGATAGGCTCATGGCTCGAGATATATCTAATTTGATTACACAAAATGCACAGATTGCGTACCTTTCCGCCTGCTCCTCAGCTAGAAATCCCTACGCCCAGTTAGCGGACGAAGTCATACACCTAGCCAGTGCATTCCAGCTAGCGGGGTTCAGCCACACATTCGCAAACATGTGGGAAACAGGCGACCAGGCCTCAAGTGAAGTTGCGAGAGACTTCTACAACCTGCTTTTACAAGATAGAGGAAACGGCGAAGACGACCACCAGCGCGTCTCAACCGCGTTCTACAACGCTGTGAAGAAAGTTCGAGATTCTAAGTGGCGCGACCCTTTGCTATGGGCCCCCTTTATACATACAGGTGCTTAAGATATCAGGTTGGTAACGCGCCCCGAATTTCTGCATTTCTCTTCATTGTGATATATCTAACATGGCAAAGAAGATCTCTTTCCCCACCTCTGTCTCATGGACTTAGTTGTTCCTCTACCGAACCCGTGGCTGCATTTCAATTCTCCCTTTCAGAGCGGACATATCCACTTCCCTAGTTCTCTATTATATTAATTGTTTTTCCACATGTGCCTTTCCTTCCAGTTTTGTTTTCAATTGTCTTTTAACTAGGCTTGTTCGGGCGACATTTCCTATTTGCAGGTATGGAGGAGAGAAGTTGGGTTTGTCCTTGTTTCTATCGGAATTTTCATTTACAGGCTTCATCAGGTTGGTTATCTAGACAGGTATTTCCTTCAACCCGTTATTGTTAGTTTCGCCTCTATGTTTCTCCCGTGATAACTCTGCATCACAAGTGCCGAAAATAATGTTTGGGCTCATGATTCCCTTCAAGACGGAGATTTTTCAAATTAATACGCACTTCCCAGTCTTCCTCACGCCCGAGGCGGAATTCCCGAATCCCGAGCCTGTGATAGCATGAGGTCGTCCGACTCCTACTAGTTCCGGATGTTATTGAGTTCGCGGATGCACGTTCTCTAGGCCGAGCAGAACTATGAGGGCCCTTATGAACAACATGCCCAATTATGAACTGAATGATGGCAACCCAAACGACGACGATACTGAAACATACGAGTAGGATTCTAGATCACCACCATGGGAGTGATAATAATTTTCAATGTGTGATGGGAAACATGGCCTAGCAAGGTAAGGGAAGCCGCTGTATTCATGGCTTGAGAAAATATAAAGCCCCACCACTATGAACCGATATCTGCGCCCACCCGATGTAGGAAAGCACCTCTTCAGTTCTTGGAAGCAATACCGCTAACCCAATTGGTATTGTCGGTGGACAAAATTAACCGCGGATCAACCATCGATGGCAACGCACCCCTCTACATCACCCCGCACTTTCTACACTACCTAAAAAACTTCCTCTAGATCAACCAAAACTGAACCATTTTATCCAATTATTATTTTCAATAAACAATGCCTCCTATTCTTCGCAGTCATGCTAAAAAACCTATTCCCTCCAAGCACCTCTCCGAGTTTACTAGAGGGAGAATTCTTGGGTTACACGAGCCTCAAATGGGATCTGAGCAAATTTCCCACTACCTAAACATCCCTCCCACTGCTGTCAGAAACACAATTGTAAAGAGATATCAAGAGGGCAAGGAGAATGAGGTAGAGGAAGACATCCTAAGACTACCAAGTTGCAGGATGAAGTCATGGTTGAGGAAGCTCTCAAGGATCACCATACTAGCTATTTTGAGATTGCTGAAAAAGTTGCTCCCAATGTTTCTACCAAGACAGTGAAGAGAAGACTTGCACAAAAGCATCTTAAAAAGTGGATGGCACAAGAGAGAGTTCATTTGGATGAAGATCTAGCTCAGGAGAGGTTGGAATGGGTATTATCCCATAGGCATTGGACAAAGGAGATGTGGAGAAGGAAGGCAATGTGGGGGGATGAGGTGGCTGTAGAGAGAAGAGAAGGAAAGAGGAGAAAATGGGTATTTAGATACCCAAATGAGAAGTAGAATAAGGATTGTATTGAACCTGCTGCTAGGAGAGGAGAGAGAGGGATTAGCCAGATGATGACTGGTTGTTTTTATGGTCAAACTCATAGTCTCTTTTTATCTGTTTTTCCTAATCCTTCTTCTGCTAGGGGTGGAGTTACTGGAAAGTCAATTATTGATGTCTATGATCATTATGACTTTCTAGGGATATGAGAGAATATCAGGGAAAAGGTTGGAGAAGAAGAGGTATTTTTTATCATTGACAATGCTAAGACTCACTTACCCTTCAGGAGATGGCTCAGAAGGCAGGGAATTACTCTTATGGAAATTCCTGCCTATTCACCAGATCTCAATCCAATTGAAAATGTTTGGTCTCTGGTGAAAGACAAGCTTTATAAGCACTATCCTGAGCTATATCTTATGAAGGGTCCTGCCAATGAGGTCAAAGAGGCAATAGAGGAGGCAATCACTCATTGTTGGGAACTTCTAGACCTAAAGATTTTTGATACTTTGGCAGGGTCAATGGTGGATAGAATAGAGGCAATCATTAAGGCTGATGGATGGTATACCAAATATTAATTTCTACTATGTATTTACATTTTTTTATTTTTTTGGGGGTTTTCATAATAGTGGGGTTGGTGGGGGAGGCTGTTGTCATTGCCGAAGATTTTCACCCGTTGATACCGCGGTTAATTTTGTCCACCGACAATATCATACCGAGTACGCAAAAATCGAAAACATCAACACAAACCAGGAGATCCTCCCGGCCTAAAATAGTCGATTGGAGAGCGTAAAAACACGAATAACTGAACTGTGTTCTACGAAGTTGACCTCTGCAACCCAGCTACCCAAGTCCATGCTGATTTTAGGAAGAGGTGAATCTCCGGAGTCAATATGACCATGCCGCACCGGCAATGTGAGCTCTGAGAGCCATCCATAAATTCTTTACAACTCCTTATTGCATTCATCCATTGCGTTGTTAAGCGGCTGTCCAGCTCAACGGAGGGAGTCTAAGAAGTCATTTATCGCTTACTCCCGAGTAAGGGCCCGTTTACCTACAGACGGCCGTTTAGATCATCTTGACGGTGGCAACCGTCAAGGGGCTCTTAACGGTCGGCAGCGTTAGGGGCTGAACTCTTATTCTGTGTTTACCTAACGCACCA